GCCGACGGTCGGCGTGTTCAACACTGGCACAGACCAAATCCCAACGGGGGATTACACTGCGCTCTCTCTCAAGAAGAGGAGTGACTAGTCTCCTGAAGCTGACGATTGTGGACTTTCGTTCCATTCACCACATCCAACAATCTGCAACCCAAGATATACCAACAAAGGTGCTCTATAGTTGGCAGGCTTTGGGCGATAGAGAAGGCTACACTGAGGAAGAAGAGGGTTATGGGGAGGGGGGCGAGGCTACACTTAGGGTGAAGAGGGTTATGGGAAGGGGGGCGTAGTATGGGTGGTGGGGGAGGGGTCAGGTGGGGGTGGAAGAGAGGGAGGAAGGATCAACTGGAAGGAGGGGTACCAGGGGGTTGGGGTTAGGCATCGGAAGAGTTGTTCCGTTTGATTAAGTGGGCTTGTTTCGATTATGTGAGGATTGAGCCCTCAAGTACGGGCCTGGCCATGATGTACATGTTCTGGGCTAAGGCCCCAGCAAGCCTCGTGCCCGCCCTAAGTGAAGGCGGGCCAGCAAATCAACAAGAGCCCTCTGTGCCAACATTTCACGAAGTGGGGTCCATACAGTTGCAGCACGCCAGGTGGTTGGAGTGCACCGAGTCTCGGATTTCAGCAAATGCTGAAATGCCCAGGGCCTCTGAGTTAGTTAGGCCCTGGGCACTCGAATGTGAGGACGACAATGCATGCCGGGTATAGAGGCCAAAAATGCCAAAGGGAAATCGGCCCACTGTCTGAATCTGGCCGCAGGCCCTGATGAAAGAAGCGCAACTGCATTGCCCCGGGGCCCAACTGTATCGGGCTGGGTTCAGCCTCTGGGTCCCGGGCACAGGCTGAAGGGAGGCCGCCCACACGCTGCACTGGCATATAGGCAAGCAGGGCGAGTGGGCAGGGATCTTGGCCATTGCGGGCAATGCCGGCACGCTGCGCGAATGCTGCTGCGCTGCCGCTAAGAGAGGGGCAAGGCAGGCCAGCGCTAGGCGGTAGGGCGCTGCCTGCGCACCAGGGCACTGGCGGCCATAGCCGGGCCGCATGAGGGTGCAGAGAGGCGCTGTGTGGGTACAAGGGAGAGTGTGGGTGAAGAGGACACGTACCTGGTGGAGGTGGAGGTCGGCATTGGTGTTGACATCATCACTCGCACTGGTAGTCAAGTTGTCTGGTTGCTTTCATCGCTGTAGTTGTAGGCTAGGCTGTAGAGTAGATAGGGCGCCTGGCGCCATTCACAAGAGAGAGCTACATTTGGGTTATGATGTTGCTGTTGCCCTGTTGGGCATGGACATTGACTCACGATTCTTCTGTATCATTCTCAATGGGATGGTTACTCGGTTCCATGTGCTATCTGCTTTGGCTTTGACTACTTGGACTTCAGTGTGATTTTGCATTCTGGATTTCTGTGCTTCGTCCATATTCATGTTCCTTGCAATTACGGCTTTTGTAGGGCAACCCAGTCACAGAGTAAGGAAACACTCAGGTGGGCGGAGATGCCATGTACATTCATGCAGTCTCCAGTCTTTCCAGTCCACAGAGTTTCGTTTTAGGGTCGAGCCAAATTCATGTTTTCTGAACTTTTCCCTTTTTCTTTTCTTTTTCCGTTCCTGTTTTTTGTTGTGGCCTTCTTGCCTTTTGAGTCGGTTCATGCTACTTGACAGCTGTTTTCCACTTGCCTGGACATAACCAGGAGCGAAGTACAAGGGTAGTTTGACCCATGCCGGTGAACCTTCCAATTCATTAGATCATTGATACTGTGAACTCTGTCTTGTGTCTGCTCTTTGTCCCAGATGCCAGCAGTTATTGATACTAGTGGCTATTGGCTTTGTGATAGACTGTTGTTAGTGTTGTGCTCATTGCATGTGTTTTCTGAACTACTACTTAATGTCTTTTGTGCAGCATGACTAACCCTGTCAACTTCAAAGCTGTGGACGGGCTGGTGCATCAGTTCAAAGGTAGCAGTGCAAGGTGAGACTATCAAAGTTCCCCTTCATTACGAAAAGAGATGAAAAGGTGGTGTCCTTCTTTTCTAGAGTGACCTCACCTCTGAAGTGTTATGTGAGTGTAACTGAAGTGAGCTCGCGTGCTCTAGCAAAAGTGTATTGTGTATGAGGTAGCAAGACTGTTGAAGATATTTGGATAGCAAATGTGTATTGTGTTTCGGAATGGCACACCAATTGAATCTTGTGGTACAATGGTACCTTGCAGAAGTAGTTTTGTGACCCTTGAAGATCAATATGACCCAGTAAACCCTGTTGTGATTGCTTTTCCTTGAAGTTTGCTGATTGTCTGTGATGGAGAGTGTCCGTTGCGGCTCCGTGAGAAGTAAACTGCAGCATGCACTCTCCTCCCACACGGCCCCTGGCAGGCCTGGCCTTGGACTTCTGTGCCCTACGGTGCACGGCCCACACATTGAGTAAACATAAGGTTGTGGTTCATTTTCTGGGCCTTGGTTCCTTTTCTTTCAGACAGTGTAAGCTATTTTGGTGTAATTTTTCTGAGCTGTAATGACCCGCCAAAAACACAGACTGAGAACACTGCTGATTTCTGGGATTTGCCACTGGAATAACAGGTAGGCCGGTACCACTCGAGTAGTGGTAGGAGTGTCGGGTAGTGGAGGCCGAGCAGAAGAAGACAAAAAGTTGGCATTTTTAGAGGCCCAGTAGCAGTAGCATAGAGGTAGGCCGGTACCAGTCCAAGTAGCCCGGGTCTAGGGCCTGTCTGGAGGTTAGCAGAGCCTGCAATGATGTTTCCCTCCGAAAGGGAGGAGGTACCGGTTGCTGGGAGGCCGCTCGGCCTAGGAAGTCACCGCCCAGGAGGCCAGTAGGCTGCTATATCTTCCGGAGGAGCAAGTAGCTCCTCCTCATTTGCGGTGTGCAAGGATTGGCGACATGCTGCTGGAGCACAGCGCTGGCTGGTACAGCGCTGCTTGGAGGTGAAGGGCCGCTGGAGCTCAGCCTGGCTATGGCAAGCAGTCCAGCTTGAGGAGGAGGAAGAAGGGGGCGAGGTAGGAGAGTGGCGAGGCACCGTCTTCAACACCTGGTTGGGCGCTGCATCTGGAAGGCCCCAGTTGGGGTAGTGCTACACCAAGGAAGCTCGAGGCAGAGTCAGGCATGGCGGACCAAGTCAGCAGCGACATAGCTGCTTTGGGTTGTCCTTTGGACATCAGCGCAGCACCATAGCTGCCTTGGGTTGTCCTTTGGACATCAGCGCAGCACCATAGCTGCTTGGGTTGTCTTGTGGACAGGAGGGCAGGGCCCTCAGTAGTCCGCCATAGCCTATGCCTGTGAGAGGAGGCTGAAGGAGGGTGTCCATAGCTATGGTGGACTTGTTGTTGTTGTTGTTGTTGTTGAGTTGAGTCGGCAGTAAGAGGGAACTTTGGATATTGATTCTGGTTCATCCATTCATTGTTATTATTATTATTGGGAGAAGAATAAGATTGGCGAAGCGAAGGAGGAGGAAGGTGGAGAGAGAAGGGGGAATTGTCATTGGTCTTGCTAGTCCACATCTTTTCTTCTTCTTCTTCTTCTTCTTCTTCTTCTTCTTCTTCTTCTTCTTCTTCTTTATCTCTCCTCTGGTCTCTATTTCGTTGCAAGTGCTTTCATTTCTTTCGCAATTAGGTGGCATTGTCTTTCATTGTGAATTTGCACTTGGGGAATGACCAGGATCGTAACAATTGGTATCGGAGCGGACTTACTTGCTGGCGAGAGGTGTTAGTCACCCTAAACCTAATTCCGAGTTAGGTTAGGGCTAACCTAATCTCGGATTAGGGTTAGGAAGTTAGGGTTAAGTGGGGCAGTGAGGTATGTGGATACTGCCCCCACCTGGTTAGGTCATGTAGGGTCAACATCAAACCTGACCAGGTTGCTTGAGTGATTGGATGGGGTGGCGAGACACAAAGGAGGCTGATTGGAGCAGGCGAGAGGGAGTAGAGAGTGAGAGGTACTCGCACCTGGAATCTGCACTTCAAGAAGGCATTGAGTGACTTTTGGGCTAGACTTGATCGGACGCTGCCATATCTGCATCAGAGAACTGCAAGTTGCTACTTTGGTCTTCAGACATCGGCGGGGGATCCGGCGTTGCAACAGAGGTGTAGGAAGGCCCTCTTAGTCATGCTAGGACACTTCGTGTAGTGGTAGCTAGGTGTCAGGAGGACTTATGAGAGAGGGGGGTGAGTCATTATCCATCTTTGGAGGCTGGGCCTCACAGGTAAGTGTCGTGTGACCTGGTTATGCCCGTGGGAGGTTGCTTGGTACTTCATGGCCTGTTGGGGTGTGTTGGGCTCTCTTCCTCTTCTCTGCGGTCTTGGTTGTGTGTGTGAGCATGTGGATTGCTTTCTCACCTGATGGATGGATGGATGATGTATCTGTTCTAAATGACATATCTTTCTACGGTGCAATGTCTTTTCATTTCTGAACGGCTGTAGGGGTAAGTTCTTGCTGAAAGTTGTCTTTTCCTTTTCAGTAAGGTAGAGGCAGTTTGGGATTGACTTGGTACCCCTATCTCGTTGGTCCTGATCCACGACCTACTTGGGACCCCTCGGGACCCAGTGGGACCAGGCCCAACGGGACAGGACCTTTCGGGCCCAAATCTGTAGCGGTCAATGCACCTCTTTGCTGTGCTGAACTTGGGGGACATACGGCAAGCAAGGGCATTCCTTTCAAGGGGATCTTGACTGGTCTTACTGCATGTTATCACGTACTGCCCTGTGTCTGGCTCGACGACCGTCTGCACCCCTTGAAATCTCCATTGCTGCAATTAGTTTTCTTCGGCTGACTTATTGTGGTACATGTACCCTGTCAGGTTAGACAAGAGGGGATCTCCAGCTAATGTGATCAGGGCCCGTTCGATAAGTCAGTCCTCTCTTCCGTTTTATTTTTTTTATTATTCTTTTTATTTTTATTCTGCTGCGTGCCATTCTCCAAGTCCAAAGGAATTGCCACTTCGGCTAGGAGTTCTACCTTCTACTCTGTGTGATTTACTGTTTGTTTCTTTCATCTGAACTATCTATGTCCGATATTGAGACGCGTGCACAGACAACGGAAAGAGAGAGAAGGGAGAAGGAAGGTGTTCTTTTTGAGAGTGTGAGGAAGGGCAAGAGGAGTGTTCGTCCAAACGTGAGGAGAGAGCGGACCCCTCTTGAGAGATCTACTAACACCCCTTCCTCCGGCATGGCAGACATCACATCTGCCCAATGGCAAGCCATGTTGGACGCAGCGGACGAGAACGAGAAACCGTTCTTCCAAAAGCTTTATGATGATGCCGTACAGAGGGAGAGAGAGGCAGAGGCAGCAGCCAGAGCCACAAGCATTGCTGATCAGGTGGCCCTCCTGCAGGTCCCGGAAGCCAATCCTGACCGGTTCCAAGAGAGGCTAGCTGCTGCCGTAGCAGCCTTGGTTTGACTGCGGACCTTGGAGGACCTTGAGTCCCGTGTGACAGCACTGGAACAGCGGAACCAAGAGCTGCAGGCTGAGATAGTCAGCCTCAAACAGTCCCAACTGTCGGCCCCCCGTCCTCCTAATACTCGACCTACTGCAGTCCCAGTCTCTCAATCTAACACAGTCCTCAAGCGGCAGCGCCGACAGTTTTGCACTAGTCATAGTCCCAAATGCAGGATCATCAGCCCAAAACGCCAGAGTTCTTACTGGCGTACAGTACAGCGGTCCCGTAGTGGACAAGCGGGCGGCCACTCTGCCGTCCAAGTACGATGGGAAAGGGGACATCACCTCTTGGATTAGCTCCATGCGCTCATACTTCGAGGTGATGCGGACATCGCCGGAAGATCGAAGCATGATCATGGGCACTAATACCAAGCCCGCCGTACGGAATTTCATTGAACTCCAAGCTGTCACAACAGGTTTTGAGATAATTGACCTGACTGAGTGGTTGAAAGTGACTTCTGTACGCACTCTTGAGGACCTTCTCATCGCACGGTACCAAAGCAAGCACGCTGTGCTCAAGGCAAGGCTGAAGCTTGAGGCCCTCAAGGGCCAAACATGGAGGACCTCCGTGCAGGCTTTGGAACAGCACTTGACTGGTCTGTTCACCACTCCAGACCTGGGAATGACCGACGTGTCTTGCATGGATGTAGTCATGGGAGTGGCCCCTAAAGAATACCTCTCCCTGCTACTTGGCGAGAGCTCATGACGGATCTAGTCAACCTAGACATCGGGAGGCTGAAGATCAGTCCTACGCGGATGATCTGTCTCTAGATGACGATCTAGAGCCGGACTCCGATATGGGCTGTTCTACATCAGCCATTGAGTCTGACGTGAATGAAGATGAAAAACTTAATGCTTTTAAAAAGACTGCTTCAAGCAAGGGGCCTAACCGTGGTTCGGGTAGGGGAACTATTACACACCTCCCCAAGAATGTGAAGATCCCTGAGAAACTGGAGGATGCTTCTACCAAGCCTTGGGAAACCCTCCGCATTAGTCAAAAGGAATGGGAAAGAAGATCCAAACTGCGCGTGTGCTTGCATTGCCAAAAGCCTGGACACGCTGTGCAGGACTGTTACTGTCTGCAGGGAAACAAGCAAAGGGCGTAGAAGAGTCATTAGCACTCTCTACAACAAGGGAAGCTGAACCATCAGTTGCAGGCCCCTCCCATGAGCCTGAATCTGATCAACAACCTACTCTTGAAGCCCAAAACGACGCTGCGTCCAGCAGGCCCCTCCCATGAGCCTGAATCTGATCAACAACCTACTCTTGAAGCCCGAAACGACACTGAATCCAAGGCTGCTGCAGTTCAAGTATTGTACACTGAGCCTTGGGAGGAGTGTAAGGAAGTTGACTTCCACGCTCACCTGGAACATTGGCTGCAGCTCAAGCAGCAACGCCGTGTTCAAGGGAGTGTGGAGCTAACCTTCTTTAAGCTGCTCATTAACCGCCGATACATCCGCATGCTGATTGATAGTGGTTCAACCACCAATTTCTTTTCTCCTAACGGAATTCGTAAGGCGGGCCTGGGAATGAAGCAAGTGGAACTGCAGAACCCTTGTCAGACCCAGGTAGGCAACCAAGAGGTTGTCACCTCAACTCATGCTGTCAAAGGTGTGCGCGTCACTTTTGACAGGTATCGCATCGTCACACGAGCTGAATTTTTTTGTCATGGACAAGTGTCCGTTCGACGAGGTCATTGGTTTGGGCTGGTTAAAGGCTCATTGCCTAAGGACCACGTGGGCGGATAATCAGTTCGTGGTGCGTGATGCGAAGGGGAATGAACGTACTGTTTTATTGGACGAGACGCGCGGGTCCCCTGTGACTCTTTTGAGTGCGAACAAATTCTGCAAATCAGTGCGCAGGCGCAAGGAAGCTGATCATGTACGTATAGCTCTTGTAAAGCCTCTCTATTCCATCTACTTCTACTGTGAATAATCCCTCTACTTCTGATCCAAGTACTTCAAATCCGGTTGTAATTGCTGTAAATTCTCAATCTGATTTTCTTTCTCCTGATGAGGATGATCCTCCACCAGAAGTCCCAACAAACATTCGCCGGCTATTAGATCGATTCCCTGAAGTTCTGGTCGAACCTCGTGGAGTTCCCGAGCGTCCGGTCAAACACAAGTTCGAGATAATAGAAGGGAGTGTTCCTCCAAAGGGCTGCGTCTACCATATGGGAGAAGGCGAATTGGAGGAGTTGAGGAGGCAGATTGGTGACATGATCGACCGTGGATGGATTAGGCCTAGTGAGTCGGAGTTCGGTGCACCTGTCCTGTTTGTGCCAAAGAAAGGAGGCAAACTCCGGATGTGTATTGACTACCTCGGCCTCAATCGAATCACCAGAAAGAATGCTTACCCTTTGCCCCGCATAGATGATCTACTATATGTGGCAGGCGGGTGCAAGGTCTTCTCCAAGATCGACCTCAAGTCTGGTTACCACCAGATTCAAGTTGATCCGAGCGACCAGCACAAAATTGCATTTAAGACACGCGATGGGCTGTACGAATTCATGCCCTTCGGTCTTACGAATGCACCAGCCACATTTCAGTGCCTCATGGACAAGGTTCTTCGCCATCAACTCAACAGGTTTGTTGTTGTTTATCTCGACGACATCCTGATTTTCAGCAAGTCCATGGAAGAGCACGTCAAGCACCTTGAGGAAGTTTTGCAGGTCCTCAAGGAGGCACAGCTGCACCTCAACTTAGAGAAATTTGAGTTTGGAAGGGACAACGTCATCTATCTTGGGCACCGGTTGTCTGCAAACGGCCTTGAGCCAGAGGCAACCAAGGTTGAGGTCATCCGAAAGTGGCCTCAACCAGCGAACGTACGCGAGCTGGGTTCTTTTCTTGGTTTGGCCTCATATTACCAGAAGTTTGTGCCCAAATTTTCTGTCATCGCTCACCCACTCTCAAGACTAACAAGTAAGAATGGTTCCTATGCGTGGTGTGAGAAGTGTGAGACTGCGTTTCAAGCCTTGAAAGAGGCATTGGTGAGTCATCCTGTGCTCCGCATTGCGGATTCCAACCTCACATTCGTAGTCACTACGCTGTGCTACAACAAGATGATGGTGATGGCCTGCTCGAGTATTACAGCAAACGCATGCCCAGCCACAAGGTAGCTACCTCCACATATATGCGTGAGCTCTACGCCTTGCGTGAGGCGCTCACACATTCGAAGCACTACCTCTTGGGTCGACACTTCAAGGTTTACTCAGATCACCAAACCTTGCAGTGGATTAAAACATAAACTGATCTCTCTCCTACACTGACCCGCTGGTTGCATGACATTGATGTCTATAACTTTGAGTTGAAACACAAGAAAGGCTGTTATAACCGGGTTGCTGATGCGCTGTCCCGCCATTGTGAATTTTTGACTTGTCTTGTGGGTTCGTATGACCTCCGAAGGAAACTGAAGGAGGATCTGGTCGAACACACCGCCAAGGATCCAGACCTTAGTCCCATCCTTGAGCAGCTCAAGGCTGACCCTAACAGTCAACCTGATTTTCATGAGTGCGAGGGTCTTGTATTCCGCCGGTATGGGAAGTTTGATCGTTTGTGTGTACCCAACCATGCGCCTCTCCGAACTCATTTCTTGGATTTGGCACATGGTCGGAGTGGACACTTCGGCTTTGAGAAGACTTACGGAAGTCTTCTGCAGCAGTTTGATTGGCCAGGAATGAAAGGATCTGCTCAGAAATTCATTGTTGAATGTCAGGTATGACAAAGAACCAAGGTCCACAGGTATAAGCCTTATGGCCTGCTGAGACCCCTTCCCATTCCTGATGGACCCGGTGAGTCGATTTCCATCGACTTCACGGACATGGGAAAGGTGAGTGAGGGAGGGAATTCACAAGTCATGGTCATCGTGGACCGTTTCTCCAAATTTTTGAACTTGATTCCTTTCCCTCCCCATGCCCCAACTGAACTTGTCATCGAAGAATTTCATCAGCAGTATATTCTGCAGTATGGCACCCCGAAAACTATTGTCAGTGATCGGGACACCAGATTTATTAGCAAAGATTGGAAGGACTTCACTTCTCAGATATACGACATTAAACTCAACAAGACTTCTGGTCGACACCCCGAAGCCAATCGATTGGCTGAGGAAATCAACCAGACTGTCATCCAACTACTTCGCGCGCGTGGGACAAGGAGTTACACAAAGTGAAGGGGTTGTACAACAACTCCATTCACTCTGCAACGGGTGTGACATCGAATCGGCTGCAATACGGATGGCATTTGCGCAATCCTCTCTCCTATCTGTTCCCCGAACGGTCACCAGGTCTGATGCCCGGCATGCCTGGCTACAATGCCAAGTATGCACGCTTGCTCAAAGTTGCTGTCGCAGCAATGAACAAGCGTCAGCCTGCCATGATCAAACATGCTAACAAGTCGCCCAAAGAAGGGACCTTCGAAGTAGGAAGCTATGTCTAGGTTAAAATGTCTGAGTTTTTTGACGAAGAGGGCGTATCACGAAAGCTTCTTCCATTATACTATGGCCCTTGGCAGGTTCTGAAGGTGATTGGGGATGATTTTGGTCCTTCGTATGTGATTGATGTGCCTCCTCATCTGCGCACGTATCCGGTCTTTCACGCATCCAAATTGTTTCCACACATCGATGATGAGACTTTTCCCTTCCGAGATCCTATGATACCTCGTCCTATCGATGGCGGTCATGAGATAGACAGAATTGTTTCCCACGAGGGAAGAGGGAGGAACATACAGTACAAGGTTCACTTCCTGGGGAAAAAAACACTCAAGTAGCAGGTAGGCCGGTACCACTCGAGTAGTGGTAGGAGTGTCGGGTACTGGAGGCGGAGCAGAAGAAGACAAAAAGTTGGCATTTTTAGAGGCCCGGTAGCGGTAGGATAGAGGTAGGCAGGTATCAGTCCAAGTAGCCCGGGTCTAGGGCCTGTCCGGAGGTTAGCAGAGCCTGCAATGATGTTTCCCTCTGAAAGGGAGGAGTTACCGGTTGCTGGGAGGCCGCTCGGCCTAGGAAGTCACAGGAGGCCAGTAGGCCGCTATATCTTTCGGAGGAGCAAGTAGCTCCTCCTCATTTGCGGTCTGCAAGGATTGGCGACATGCTGCTGGAGCACAGCGCTGGCTGGTACGGCGCTGCTTGGAGGTGAAGGGCCGCTGGAGCTCAGCCTGGTGTCCAGCTTGAGGAGGAGGAAGAAGGGGGCGAGGTAGGAGAGTGGCGAGGCACCTACCTGGCTATGGTGGACACCGTCTTCAACACCTGGTTTGGGCGCTGCATCTGGAAGGCCCCAGTTGGGGTAGTGCTACACCAAGGACGCTCGAGGCAGAGTCAGGCATGGCGGACCAAGTCAGCAGCGGCATAGCTGCTTTGGGTTGTCCTTTGGACATCAGCGCAGCACCATAGCTGCCTTGGGTTGTCCTTTAGACATCAGCGCAGCACCATAGCTGCTTGGGTTGTCTTGTGGACAGGAGGGCGGGCCCTCAGTAGTCCGCCATAGCCTATGCCTGTGAGAGGAGGCTGAAGGAGGGTATCCATAGCTATGGTGGACTTGTTGTTGTTGTTGTTGTTGTTGTTGTTGTTGTTGTTGTTGTTGTTGTTGAGTTGAGTCAGCAGTAAGAGGGAACTTCGGATATTGATTCTGGTTCATCCATTCATTGCTATTATTATTATTGGAGAAAAATAAGATTGGTGAAGCGAAGGAGGAGGGAGAGAGAAGGGGGAATTGTCATTGGTCTTGCTGGTGCACATCTTCTCTTCTTCTTCTTCTTCTTCTTCTTCTTCTTCTTCTTCTTCTTCTTCTTCTTCTTCTTCTGCTTCTTCTTCTTTATCTCTCCTCTGGTCTTTATCTCGTTGCAAGTGCTTTCATTTCTTTCGCAATTGGGTGGCATTGTCTTTCATTGTGAATTTGCACTTGGGGAATGACCAGGATCGTAACAGAGCTGTGCTTTGTTTCTAAGGGTTTTGTCAGTTGGCAGTTATTTTCTTTTGGGATAGTGTCGTTTCGGATTCCTCAGATTCTCCCAGGCACAAGTGCCTGTGCGGGTCCAGTGGTAGGCTGTTTCACAGATTTTGGCTTTTTTGGAACCCAAATAATTTTGTCTGCATGGCCTGGACGTTTTGTATGTCCTTCAGTCTTTGGTCCAGCCCTTGTCTTTTCTGGATCAGCCTCAAGGTACCTGCCGCATCAGCAGGTAGAATTGGATATCCAATTGGGACCCAGGCTGCCTGTTCTTTGGTGAAGGCTGCTAGACCAGGCTTGGGCCTGCATCCAGAACTATCAATCGATGGTTTGATCAGACGACTACAGACCAACAGGACCGCTCCTAGGCCCAGCGCTAGTTAGCTGAGCAGCCCTGGAGAAGAGACATGCAGGTTAGAGCATTTAGTTCAACACAAGGCTGCTGGTGAGCAGCACTGGCGTTAGCAGTAGAGGATTAAGAACCACGGAGCAGGTGTTAGCGTTAGAGGATGTATGAGGAGAGACTTAGGATAGTGGAGATGTGCAGCAGCATTGGCCAGATGGCTCACCGGGCGCCATAGCTAGGTGATTGTACCAGCACTAGCCAGGCTTCAGTCTGCCTTGAACCACAACTAGGTTCTAGGCAGACCTTTCACCGAACAGTATCAGAGCTGTGAGAGAGAGAGAGAGAGAGAGAGAGAGAGAGAGACTCGGCAACTAGTTGAAGGAGACTTCTTCCAGGTGCGCGCTCGACATTGTATGGGAGGCCGCTGTCAACTGAGGGAGTTTTTTATCATTCTGACTGTTGTATCTGGGCTCTCACTATTCTTGTATTCTTACACTTCAGCCTCCTCTTCGCTTATCATCATCCGTGGTTTGTCACCTCATGTGACATTTGTTGTATGTTCCGCTCCTTGTCATCCCCACAGGGCCCACACTACAAAAATCGCTAGCGTAACAAAATCTTAAATCGGGGCCATCCAGAGTCCTACCAGCCCACAGCCTAAATCGTCGTACCAATGTGACACATCTTGAATCCGGGCCGTAAGGTTCAAACTGCCCAACGGCCCAGATTATTGCACCAATGTCAAAAAAAAAATCCTCGCCGTAGGGTCTTGTCGGGCCAATGGCCCAGATTGTTGCGCATAGGCCCGGTGTTGAAAGCACAACAGGCTAGATTAGAGGTACTATGCAATGAGGCTGTGTAGGTCCTACCATCACAGCCCATTGTGGAAAGAAAATTTTGTTGTTCTTCTGTGGTTGGTTCGTCTTCATATGAGTGTGTTTATTTTTTAGTGAATTGTCATTCCTGCTTCGTTGCCTGATTGCATCGTGTTTTACTCATGCCCCACAAAAGTGCGACATCTGTGAATGGAGGCCGCTGGTGGGACTGGGCTGGTAGGGACTGTTGATATGGTGTTGGTTGTGGAAGAGCGAGCGAGAGCGCGCGCGCGTGCGAGAGAGAGAGAGAGAGAGAGAGAGAGAGAGAGAGAGAGAGAGACTCTGGCATGGCAATCAAAGTCTGCCTCCGCCCTACGCCATTTTCCCTCCCGGTCGCCACCCTCATTCCGGCTGGCATATGCCTAACCCCCCACTGCTGCTACACCTCCCTCTGTGTGTGTGTGTGTGTGTGTGTGTGTGTGTGTGTGTGTGTGTGTGCCGTCATCGGTAAACAGTGCTACGATGAATAGATAGGTGACCCCCAACCAAGACAAAGGGACAGCCCATCTTTGTTTAGTTTGCGAGCAAAGCTGCAACAGGTCATCTGATATGGGTCAGATTGATTGTTTTCTGACTCCGGGCTTTAGATTTGCAGTTTCTCTTCACTTTGGTGGTTCATGGTTCTGCAATGCGTCCCGGCTGAATGGATTGATTGATTGGTTGGTCGAGTGACCTAGTGAGTAAGTGAGGGTGTGTGTGAGTGGGTGAGTGCGTGAGTGTACGATTGTGCAAGTGAGGGTGTGACTGAGCGAGGAAGTGAGTGACTGAGTGAGTGAGTGGTAAATCAGAGGGAAAATGATGATCCAAAATCGCAAATGCGTCGTTTCACCTGAAAGATGAGACTTGTGTCCTTGCTTCCATTGCACGTCATGCTGCAGATGTCATTCACAATGTTTGCCTTTTTCATCATTTAGGATCTGCTGAGTGCAGGGCCATTTTCTCTGTTAGCTGAAGAGAATAATGGACTGGTAGTAGATTGGAGTCAGAATCCGAGCTGCTAGCGGTGCCTCTAGCAGGTTCTGCTGGTGTTAAAAAAAAAAAAAAAAAAAGAACCGGTAGTGCATTCTTGTTCTTTGTTCTCTGTTCTGATTCTTACGAGCTGTGGCCTGTATTTGCTGTGGATGCATCAGTTGATGAAAAGACCGTTTCCGTTGCTGGTGCATGGTGACACAGAAAGGAGTTTAGGCTGCCAGTACCCTTCTTTGCTTTTCTACGTGGGTTAAAGTCCTTGTTTTTTAAGACATTGATTAGGTCCCCTGAGGTGATTTGTCATCTTGGCGAATATTATTGACCCAACCAGCAACAGGCTGCATGCTTCCTCCCTGTTGTACTCCTTCCTTCTGTCTCTGTTTTCATCCGTCCTTCTTCCTTCTGAATGTGATGTGTGCTGGTAACTTGCCACGTCTGCTTTGATATGTCTATGGTTGTGTGTCACCTCACCAGTTAACTGACACGATTGCAGTTGCAGGTCAGCGTGTGACACATCCTCAGCATGGTGACATCTCACCAGTTGTGTCACACATCAGTAGTGCCACATCAACAGTGTGTGACATGTCATATGTGACACATCAGCAGTTGGATGCCATGTTAGAAGTGACATGTCAGCAGCTGTACCAGGTCATCTGATATGTCAGCAGTAGGTGCCACATCAACAGTGACATGTCAGCAGCAGATGCATGCCCTTAGTGTCATGTCATCAGCAGCTGTGCTCTGTCATCTCATACTAGGTCAGCAGCCTGTGTTGCACCCACTCGCTAGTCCATGTGGGCGACACTCGCCATGAGTGAAATCGTGGAGATGAAAGCTGGCAAATCGGTTGGTGCATACTCTACTGTGTATAGTCACTGATGGACAAAGCACGCAGAGGTGGGAAACATTACGTCACGACGAGTAGGATGCAGAGTGGGAAAGATTAAGCCACGAGGCCAAGGAAACCATGTGGCAGTAGCAGTTGGCAGCAGAGGACACTGCAGCTGCGTGATGGAGTCTATGACTACATGATCGTGTTGAAGAAACAAGTGCGCTGCCATTGGCGTCCAACTTGCCAGACTGTGCACACACACTTGAATCACACCTTACCCAAGCTGGATGGCATCCCGGTTTTTGACGACCCTAGTCAGAGGTGATTGGAGCTGGCATTGGACATGCAGCAGGTTCTGAATATATGCAGTTCAGCTGTTTGTAACTTTGTATCAGTGCTCTACTTGCATTTACCAAGCTTGTTTGCACAACTTGCCGTCCAGTCATCAAGTGCCCATCAAGGACATGCACACCAAGCTCTCTCGGTACCAAAGAGAGAAAGCCTGGGCCAAAAGTTTTGAAGTTGCATAGGCAGAGCTCATGGCCATCGAGTAACTCGTGCGTTTTCGAAAGGGCAACATGCCAAGTTTTGACTGGATCATAGAATACCAACGGCTGGTACCAGTCCCGGCGCTCCCATGGGAAGTCTCCAGGAACTTCTTCGTCAATAATTTTTGTGTGCCCTTGCAGCAGCAGCAAATTCATTGCCACAACACGCTCGCTGTGGCAGCCGGACTTTTCAACAATACTACAACCATTTGTTTGATGGACATCGCAGCAAGGAATCTGGATCGGCAGGCAACACCATTGGGCATGCGAACCCTTTAAGAGGACGCTTACCAGACCGTCTATAAACATTTCTGGTGGGTTCCAGTTGAACCCTGGCTGTGATAGTCTGTGAAACGGTTTTCACCTCTTTGCAGTAGCAGACGCAGATCCCAGGGTTCGATCCCTAGACCTTGCTGAGAGACCTGCTGATCACGTCGTCCTGTCTGCGACGTTAAATAATTCCTGAGGAGTTACGGGGGATCTCCTTGAATGCCTCCTGATCAGCAACAGGTCTAGTAGTGACAGCCATAGTTAGGTCCAGGCTAGAGACTCTAGTTGGCAGGATCCCTGTCCGGATTCTGTGAGTGGTAAGGTTTGGAACCGTCAAACCGGTTGTGCACTTGTCACCATGGTTGACCTTTGTAGTGGGAAGAGTACTAGCCCCTACACCCCTGAGCAACAAGAATAGATGGCCGCCTTAGTGAGAGAGAACAAGGAGAGGAAGGAGCTCCTGAAACAGGCGAAGTTAAAGACGATTGCAGAGGAGCAGGCGGCGAAGATGAAGAGATTGGAGGAGGAGATGAAGAGAGTTCAACAGGAGGAGGAAGAGAGGAGAAAGGCTGCCGAAGAAGCAGCAGCAGCAGAAGAAGAAAAAGAGAGAATGTGTATTGAAAGTAGAGAAGGGAGTAGTGGCACGAAGAAGGACGAGGACGCAGAGATGAAGAAAAAGATCAGCGGGTGGATTGCTAATTTATTGCTGGGGGAGGATGAGGAGGCAGAGTTCTATGTGCCTCAGGATGAAAGGGATGCGTTAGCCCAAGAGCTAGCAGCAATGGATGACCCCCTGGAGAGACAAGAAAGAGAGGAGGAGAAAAAGTTGGAGTGGAAGTTGAGAATGAAGAGGGAGAAGAAGAGAAAGAGGGATGAAGTCAACAGATTGACCGCAGAGGTGGCAAAAATGAAAGATTGTAGGCAGGAGGTGGAGACTGAGGCAGACGACAAGGCCAAATGGGATAAGGTGTTGGGATACCTGGAAGTGTTGAGCGCAGCCTGGATGGAGGAGCGCCAGGCCAATAGGAGCCAAGAGGTAGCACTGAGTGCCATAAGGTTTAGAGAATTCGCGCGCGAGTTGGTCACCCACGTTGGAGGAGAAGTGAGGAGATTGAGAGACAACGTGGGGAAGTTCTGTGAGGGTGCCATTGAGGGCGCCAAAGTAGCAGCCGCTCAAACTCAAGTTTCCCGATGCTTATGGGGGGAAATCTGACAAGAACTTCGATAACTGGGAGGCTAGCGTAAACAGCTACGTTTACTAACAGCACATCGTACAGGTCCTGGTAGCCTTCCAGGCCCTCAAGGACGAAGCGGCTAGTTTTGCCAGATCCCTCGCGCGCGCGGCCGGTTGTGAAAACAACACGGTCGCCTATTCCAAGGTCACCCCCCTCCCTCAATTCTTCAAGCTCCTTAGAGAGCGTTTCGCTAATCTTCGCAGTGGCGTCAGAGCCTTTGACAAGCTCCAAACGATCCACTCACGGCAGTGGAGGAGTGCCAAGGCACTCAAGGGCGTTATGGACGACTTGGTAGCCGTCCCAGATCATGGGGTTACTGAGCCCCAATTGGTCCAATTATTTTATCGTGCCATGCCAGAGCCCCTGCGTGGGCACTTTTTTGACAAGTCCCAACAGCCCACCATGACGTACGATGCGCTCTGTAGGGAGGTGGTGCTGTTTGAGGCCAAGTCCATGCCAGTTTCCACTTTCTAGCACAAGGACTTAGAAAAGGGCAAAAGGTGGAAAGGTCGTACCATCTCTGGCCAAGTCATGGCCAAGGATCATGTGATCCTTACCTTAGAGGAGGGTAGTACAAATGAGGTCCCATATAGTCAGATCGAGTGGGGCCTTGAGGAGGAGGACAGTAGTGTGAGACAGGGGAGGTTCTATGCTGCTGTCGCGGCTGGAGGGAGGCCGCAAAGTAGAGGAGGTCAGGGCCATGGCGGACAATGGAACCGCCAAGTGGGAGGTAGGGGTCAAGGTCCACCGCCAAATTGCCAGGGTTCTTATCGGTCCCCACAGCGACGAGGTGGAAGGGCACCTCAAGGAGGATGGCACCCAGGCTTGCCCCAGGGCAAGCCCCGGGAAGACTTGGGCTTGGACGCGTTTATGGCAGGAACGCGTGGACTTGGGTCAGTGCGTGTTTTGCGGTGACCCGGCCCACGTTATTAAATTTAGCCCTAAGTATAGACAGGCCCGTTGGGCTGCCCACCAGTCAAAAGGCAGCCGCCAGTAGGGGTCGCAACTGCCCTACTTCAAGGCCATGTGGGGAAGCGAGTGCGCGGGAACAGGAAACTCCCAAACCACATGAGCCTATGGCAGAGGTTGCAGGCCCGTGCCTAGCTAGCTATCCAAAGACCGCTTGTGTTAGCGTCTCTCTAGGCACGTCCCTCACAGGTGTGGCAGAAGAGCTGAAGGAGAGGATGCCCGCCTGGGCCAAAATGAAGGAGGAGAGTAAAGGACAATTGATCTTGGTAGATGTAGAAGTATTTAGGGCCCATATAGACTCGGGGGCGACCCGTAGTTATATTAGTTGTAGAGCGCTGAAGAAGTTGAGGCCAGGATTGAAAGTCCAAAAGTTAGCAGACCCTATAGTCAGTGTCCTCGCAGACAACGTCACAATGCATGTTGAGGACTATGTAGAGGGAGCCAAGCGTACTTTTGCCTAGAGAAGGATGGGAAGGTGGAGAAAGTTCTCCATTCCCTGACTCTCCTCGTACAGGATGACCTTCCTTTCGATATAGTATTGGGAATGGATTGGGGAGAGGCAGCAGGGGCCACACTTCACTTAAGAGAGCATGAGTGTAGGCTCCCTAGTCCGTCAGGCGCCTGTTTCATGTGTCAGGTGCAGACAACACTCTGGCACATTGTTGTCTCAGTGCTCTCGCGTTCGTGCGACTAGTGAAAAAGGAGCAGTTAGAAGATCAGGTCTTCGTAGTGTATGTGAGGCCTGTAACTGAGGCTAAAGAAGAGGTAAGCTCCACGGATCCAACAATTGCCAAGTTGCCGGAAGAGTCCAAAGATTTGACTGAATCGCCGACAGGAGTAGTGTCGTGAACCATCCAGCACAGGATAGAGATAGAACCTGGCAGTAGGACTCCTAAGGGAGCAGTCTACAGGATGTCCCCTAGAGTGTTAGAGGATCTACGCAAGCAGTTGGACGAGCTCCTAGAGAAAGGTTGGATCAGGCCCAGTTCGTCTCCTTTTGGAGCACCAGTTTTGTTTGTCCCCAAAAAGGAAGGAGAGCTGAGAATGTGTATAGACTACAGGGGTTTGAATCCTATTACAGTGAAGAATGCTGAACCGTTGCCCAGGATAGACGATCTTCTAGATCGGGTGCATTGTTGTAAGTATTTCTCTAAGATAGATTTGAAGTTTGAATATCATCAAATAGAGGTCCATCCTGATGACTAGTACAAGACTGCCTTTCGGACTAGATATGGGCACTATGAGTTTATAGTGATGCCCTTTGGACTGACTAACGCGTCAGCGACGTTTCAGCGATGTATGAACGATCTATTTAGGTCGTGGTTAGACAAGTTTGTAGTAGTTTATTTAGATGACATCTTAGTTTTAAGCAAGACCCTCCAGGATCATCAGGGTCATCTAAGGCAGGTCTTGGAGAAGTTGAGAGAGTCAAACTTCAAGATCAACGCTAAGAAGTGCGAGTGGGCCAAGACACAAGTCTTGTACCTGGGCCACGTATTAGACGGAGATGGCATTAAGCCTGAGGACAACAAGATAGCGGCAATTAGAGACTGGCCAACGCCCCGCACATTGACAGAGTTGTGGTCGTTCCTAGGCCTAGCTAACTACTATAGAAAGTTTGTGAGGAACTTTTCTACTATCGCCGCTCCCTTGAGCAGGTTGCTTAAGAAAGAGGCAATCTGGCAATGGGATAGAGATTGTACGTCTGCGCTCAAGAAGTTAAAGCGCGCGTTAATAGAGTACCCTATCCTCAAAGTAGCAGATCCGTCTTTGTTATTTGTCGTCACCACGGACGCGAGTTAGTATGGGATAGGCGCCGTGTTACAGCAGGACTACGGCAATGGCTATAGACCCGTAGAGTTCATGTCAGCGAGGATGCCCTCAGAGAAGGTAGCCACCTCGACATACAAGAGAGAACTCTACACTCTCAGGCAGGAAGCATTACCTGTTTGGGAGGCACTTCAAAGTGTATTCTGATCATGAGACGCTTAGATGGTTAAAGACTCAGGGGCCAAAATGACACTTAAGTTAACTAGGTGGGCCGCGGAAATAGACCAGTATGACTTTGAGCTCAAGCCTGTGAAGGGCAAGTACAACGTAGTTGCGGATGCTCTGAGTAGGAGATCAGACTACTTTGGAGCTATAGTACACTATCTGGACATAGGGAGAGACCTGCAGGAGAAAGTGAGGCAAGCGTATGCGCAGGACCCTATCTATAGTGACCTCCTCAAGAGAGTTAAGGAGGCCCCAGAGACCGAACCACACTACCGCACTACAGAAGGATTGCTGTTTGAGAAGACGGATGTATTCAACCGCGTATGCCTTCCCAACAGTGAGGAAATCCGCAGTCTGATCCTAGGGGAATGCCATGACACCGAGGGACACTTTGGTTGGCAAAAGACATTAGCCAATCTGATGCGTGCGTACACCTGGCCAGGGATGAAAAATGACTGCATAGAGTATGTTCGCAGTTGTGAAGTGTGCCAGAGGAATTAAACTACTACGCGCGCCCCTCCAGGTCTTCTCAGACCTTTGCCCATTCCTGATCAGCCGGGAGACTCAGTGTCCATAGACTTCATGTCTACTTAGGTCAAGAGTAGACATGGTAAGAGCCAAGTCATGGTCATAGTCGACCGATTTAACAAGTATGTCGTTTTTGTTCCTTTGCCTGCAGAGGCACGCACAAAATTAGTTATTCACAAGTTTTTTTATCATTGGGTTAGTGAGAACGGAGTCCCATTATCCATAGTTAGCGATAGAGATAGTCGTTTCACCAGCCAAAACTGGCAAGAACTCATGAGAGTTTACGGGTCGAAGTTGTTAATGTCTTCTGGCCGTCGTCCAGAGACCAACTGTGGCATACTGTGCAGCCACACGGGCCTTGCAGGGCCCGTCCCGGACCTCCAGCCTGTTTCCCTACAGGGAAACTTCCAGGCTCTTGCCTTG